GGAAAGCCTTTTTGAATGAGTTTATAGAGAAGGCCCTTATGCCACACCTTGTCAAATGCCTTCGAGACATCCAGAAGCAAGATTCCAGTACTTTCGTTAAGGGTGAAGACCTGGTTACTCGCTCCACAACCGCCTGGTACTATGCTCAGACCGAAATCCAAATTACACGTCAAGGTGACATAGTATCACCTTTTCAGCGAGCTTAGACGGAGCAGACAGTAGCCTGATGGGACGGTAGTCCTGGGGAAATATCGAACCCACCTTCTTTGGAATCATTATAACTTCCGCAGTCTTTCACGCCGATGGAAAGTACTGGGTCCTTAGCATGGCGTTGATAATAGCCACGAGATAAGTCAAGGACTTCAGTGAAAGCAGCTTCAGCGCCTTATTAGTGATTTCATCCTCCCCAGGCGCTTTACGCACCTTGGGGTCTTTAATATAACCTTGAAGCTCTGCTGGTGTGCAATATGGGATCTCGGGATATGCCGCTGATGTGCTGTGCAACTCTTCAGCTGAAGAATCTTCCGAAAAAGAATCTTATGCGGAGAATCACTAACGGCAGCGCCGGGATCACTGACGCCGTTGGCCCTAAAGTATCTCTTGACGGATCTTACAATTTGTTGCTCCTCGTCGAGATCATTATCAAGATCATAGTTGGGAGAGAACAGTCGTTCAATAGCATCAGCGAAAACCTCGACCTTGTCGTCTGTCCTGAAGACTATGCCCCCAGGACCATGGATGTGCGGGAGTTGTTCTCGCTTTCCGTTTCTGAGCGACTTCGCCACTTTCCAGTGAGGAGTACTTGAGTCAAGCATCCCCGCCAGAAAGTAGTTCATTACTCATTGCGGAATTCATGGAGAGCATTTCATACTTCATGAACAAGATTCGTCGCTCTGCGAATGTCATCAGGATGAATTACAAGTTCCATAGTAGTAACATTAGGCTCTTGTCATCTAATTTGAGCAACAGACAGCAGCTGGTAACCTTCAACAACACTTTTATTCCTAACTAGCTTTACCCTGCGCGCGTTGCTACGCCACCGACTAAAATAAATTTGAAGGAAAGACATTACACAAATGTTCAATTCATTTTGAGTCATTTTATTGATTTTGTTCATTTCAAAAAAATTGTATCATTGCAGCATCTCGTTTCAATTCGATATTTATTGAAGTGCTGTGGGATATACAATATTTCTTGTTTTTCCATCTGGTGAGTAAACGAATAAATTAGAAGGTTTTCCGACGCGTGAGCAGACCACATAGAGCTACCCATGTGAGAAGCATGGATTCTCCAAATTTAATTCACACACTTGCAACGATTGTCCTTGTGCTTTGTTGATAGTCATTGCGAAAGCGAGTCGCACCGAGAACTGCAAACGTTTGAATTCGAATGGCATATCTGTCGGTATCATTGGGATACATGGCAACAGTACGTCTTCACCTTTGAATTTTCCAGTCAAAATTGTTGCCTCGATAACATTGTTCATCATTTTCTTGACTGAGAGTATGGTTCCCTTGCAAAGTCGTGGTGGATTTATGTTTCGAAGAAGAATGATGGGTACGCCAATTTTCAATATAAGTACGTGCGTTAGCATGCCTGGCAAATCAAGCGAATTCAAGAATTCAGTTGGATAGTTGACATCTTCGTCTTGATTCACCACAGTATCGATGGACTTATATGTTGCCGTTTTGACGGGTATTCCATTCTGAATAGTGAAGTTGATGGTTTTGATATCGATGTTTTTGGCCGCTAATATAGCACGCGTACTAAGCCAATGATGATTTTCTGTGCTATTTTTGGGAAAACTTTTTGCACCAATTCGTCCATGCTTTCTGTGATGTTACAGAAGTTTGCTGGCGTAGATTCCATTTGTCCCGTTGTAGTTGTACCCACATGTTGGTAAATAACGCCATAAAACTGATGATTTGAGACATGCATTAAGTTCATTAGCGGGTGTTGAACGTGGTATAACCGGCAGTGTTTGTCGAAAATCACCAGACAATACAATGTGTGCGCCACCGAAGATCCGTGCGTATCCTCTCAAATCTCATAGTGTACGATCAAGCGCTTCCAATTTTCCACTGGCGCAGCACATTCCTGGCGTTTCGTTCTCAAATTTGAGAGCGCTACAATACATTCAAATTTTATTAATTTTTCCAATGATTTGATTCCAAGACTGTAATCATTATTACTGTCATAATGGAATGCACCAAGATTTCAATCAGCGTGTAGTATTCGTCTTGATCGTGCGGTACTTATTCGAACATTTTGCAGCCTTCTTTCCCGTTGTTCAGTTGTCTCTGACAAACGGGCCTGAGTAGTACATATTCGATCAGTTTCTACCCTTACTTCTCTTGTTCATATGATTCAGACGCACGGGTCTGAGCGGCATGTACTCGAAGATTTTCCAGCCTTAATGCTCGTTGCTCGACTGATTGTGAGGCTCGTAGTGTTCTTTTCTTCCGGGCTTGAGGAGTAGATCGGCCAATTGCTTGTCGCTTTGGAGGCATAATTGTACGGGAATGACGTGAAAAATGCGTTTGAATTTATTAGATGTCAATCTGCGATCCGAATCTCACAATGTATCCAATCCAATTGAACCGGCTTCTCACACATGGATGGAAATGTTAATATTGACGGTGATCACCAATTCGCTGAGGAAAATTTGAAGTGAAAAAAATCAGCACTCGAGATTTGTTGAAATCGATTTTAATTCCACTCACCATGCTATCCGAAAAAAAAAAAAAACTGCACAGCAAATGCGTTTGGAACGTCAATCAGCAGTTAGATCCTTTGCATACACATTCGAAGATCTTTGTGAATACACTGTAAAGAATGAATAAAATCATCTCACGGAAACTACGAAAATTCAATTCGATTGAGTTATTTATCTAAAAAAATTTAACTCGCAATGAAATGCCAAAAACTTTTCGTAAAACGCCCCCAAATATAAAAATACGCACAGTATTGTCTGTTCTATGTGAGCCGGACATGAATTACACAATTTACATAAATTCTTATGTCACCAACTCGAACCGTCATCATTCATTCGCTGTTTTCGTTTCAATTCAAATCAGCATGAACTGTCACAGCAATATATGAAATTCATTGGAATGACAGTGGCACCATCTGTCGAAAATTGGTCATACCAACTTAGGAACCTTCGTGGACTCATGCACAACAACTTTGCTAAAGATTATCACATGATCAAATGCATAGGTTACGATTCCACAAAGGACATACAGAAAAACATTCATATAATATATATATATATAAAAATTAAAGCTTCCGCCTTTTGTTGGGTACTTCGACAAAATTTAAGCAAAGAGGACTCTTTATACTTTTTTTAATTCTCTCTAGCTTTCAATGGACTTTGCTATCATCATCAGGAGAGTAGTATGTGAGGATGTTGCTAATTGTTGTTTACGTATAGGATGAGGGAAACGTCCAGTAACATGGTGAGAGCTGGATAGATGGTACAATGGTCAAAATTATATAAAATATGACAAGACAAGTTAAAAACAGATACAAAATTTTTAAAGGCGGAAGCTTTAATTTTTCACCTAACTGGTCTAGACGACAATGACCACGTCTCAAGTTATATATATATATATATATATCAAAAAGTAGGAAAATAATAAGCAAAATCCGCAAAAAGGAGGAAAGGGGATTCGAGCAGAAAATAGGATATGCAACCCGAGCGATACGTATTTCTGCTGGTTGGCTTCATCAGGCCCAAAATGAATGCACATATGAAACTACAAAAGTAGATACACATGCCCACACATCCGGATACGGGTGTAACCTGAGGAAATGAAGTTGGATTAATAAAAGTAATTTCGTCCAAAGATCCGTTTAAAACCCCAACACAAATAAAAGCCGAAATCGAGACAAAAGGAATTGTCAGTGTTTCTGCGAAAACTATAAGTATAAGAAGAAATGGTTTGAAGTTATTTGCACGTCGCCAGAGTAAGAAGCCGCTAATCTCGAGGTAAAACCGTAAGGACCGGTCACAATTTGCACGGTTGCATCTTGATTGGAGCATCTGTGACTGGAAAAGGGTATGTTTCAGTGACGAATCCAAATTCAATATTGTTGGATCAGATCGTGTTCATTACGTTAGACGTCCTAGTGGACAAAGATTGAACCCTAAGTACACTTTGCCCACTGTCAAACATGGAGGCGGGTCTGTTATGGTTTGGGGGTGCTTTTCGGGGTTTGGGATGGGACCTTTACATAGAATAGATGGCATTATGGATAAGTTTGTATACACAGACATACTAAAGCATGTCATGTTACCCTATATGGAAGGCAATATGCTCTTAAGATCAATTTTCTAGCAAGATAATGACCCGAAGCACGCTTCAAATCTCGCAAAGAAATTCTTTGTGGATGAAAAAATACCATATCTCAAATGGCCTTCACAGTCTCCCGATATAAACCCCATTGAAAATATATGGGAATATTTAGATAACCAAATACGAGATAAACATTATTCAAACAAGGATGAACTTTTTGCCGCTTTAGAGCAAAAGTGGAGACAGATTGATGAATCTTATATCAAGAAACATCTACAATCTATGCCGAGACGATGTCAGGCGGTGATTGATAATAATGGTTATGCTACAAAATATTAACACAAACATGGTTGGTTTTCTATAATTCAATGAACTTTGCTTCTTTTTTCTATAATTGTTTTGCTTTGTCTCTATATTTTTGTCCTTCATAGTTTCAGTTTTTTCAATTAATTTTTTATTGAAGAGAGTCTAATGAATTTATTTATGTATAAGTGAGTATTATGCTATAACGAATTATGTATAGAGGTTGGTGTATTAATAAAACTAATTAAAAAAAAAATACAGCACAATATTAATTTGTCTATATACTTTTGTAGATTAATATATATATATACATACATACATACTTATATGACGTTCCCAATTATTGTAATACAAACAAAAACCTTATACTGTTTGCTGATGACAACAATGCTTTGTAGTAGCAAATCGATTGATCTAGTTTTCTCTGAGAATATTGATTATTCTTGGCATCTCCGTCCTTCTATGATCGTATATTGGTAGGTTTCATTTTACGACCTGTGGACGCACTGTGTTGAAAGTATTTGTAAACATATTTTCTTGAAACTTCAAGAAAAAGCCTCAAGAACATATCATATGTAGTTGTTTTGACTAATCGCAAAAATGCGATTAATTCCTGTTCGGAAAAGAATCAGGTCACCAAAAGAAATGCAAAAAGCATCTGAGGAGCTCACCAACCATAAAAAAGTGGACCCAACAATAGCAGGTCCATCAGGTTCCACCAATCGTTTAAACTACCAGCGCCAATTCCTAAGAACAAAATTCAAAGAAGAGAGGAAGGCACCCTACATGCGGAGTGGGAAAATACGCTCAACAAAACGGTACCGGGAGGAGAAGAGCAGTTTTCAGAAGAACAACAGCCAGGACAGACCTCACAAGAAGGAACACTGGCGAGCCAACTCACGTTATCACCATCAAAAACAATAAAGGTAGGAACTACCTTCAAACCAGCAGGATGATTTAAATACTTTTTAGCTGACTGGCAAAAAATAACACATAATTTCAAAATTCTGGAGTGGATAAAAGGAATAAAGCTACCCTTCAATTAAATTCCAAAACAATACAATCTACCACAAGAAATTGTTTCAGTTCAAAAATATATATGTATATTCAACAGAAATAAGTTAGTACAGAAGGGAGTCATATCAGAATGCGATTACACTAATGGTCAGTTTCTGTCACCTTATTTTTTAATTAAAAAACCTAATGGTGATCATATATTCATTTTGAATCTGAAGAAACTTAATAAATTCATTACAAACAAACACTTCAAAATGGAAGATTACCGCAGTGCACTCAAGCTGATAACTTCTGAATGCTTTATGGCAAAAATCGACTTACAAGATGCCTATTATCTTTTGTCTATCAATAAGAAATTTAAAAAATATTTAAGATTTTCCTGTCATAATGAATTATTCGAATTCAGTTGCCTTGCCTTTGGTTTAAATATAGCTCCCCTAGTTTTTACAAAAATTTTAAAACCTGTTGCAAAATGTGTACGGCAACAAGAAGTAGTAATGGTGATTTATCTCGACGATATTTAAATTTTTGGGAACAATTTCTACGAATGAAAACGTTCTGTCACTAAGGCAATAAATCTATTAATCTCTCTTGGTTTTATAATTAATGAAGCAAAAAGCATCCTAAAACCCACTCAGAAAATTGAATTTCTAGGTTTTATTTTCAACTTAAAAAGTATGTCATTAAGTTTGACTATTAAAAAAATAACAACACTAATTATTCAAAAAATTCAAGCGTATCAGATACTGCAAAATTGGAAAATTTACCTCTATTGTTGTAAAATTAGTTTCAATATCCCCTACACAAAAATATGGTTGGCTGCTTTGAAATAACAAAGCTAAAAGCTCTTAAATTGAACAATAACAATTTTAACAAAATAATGACAATCCCTTTCAAATTACACAACGAATTAGATTTTTGGTTAACACATATCAACAATTCCAAAAGAGAACTAACACATGGACCATTTTCCTTCGAAATTTTTTCTGATGCATCCAACATCGGTTGGGGTGCTTGTTGCAAATATTCTCAAGCAAATGGGTTCTGGGATGCACAGGAAAAGAGTCACCATATACATAAATTGGCTGGAATTATGTGCAGCCTATTATGTCTTGCAAAAGATAAATCCCATTGCAAAATTTTATTGTGCATTGACAACATAATGGCCTGTATTAACCGAATAGGCAGCACAAGATATAGGTATCCAAATCAAATTATGTAGAATAATCTGGAATTTTCGCGTCATACATCAACACAAAACAGAATATCGAAGCAGATTATTAATCTAGAAATAAATCCACAAACACTGAATTTGAACTAAATAGCAAAATATTTTCTGAAATAATAAAAAAATTCGGTATTCTACAAATAGACCTTTTCGCTTCAGAAACAAATGCCAAATGTAACAAAAACGTTTCATGGGGCCCTGATCCCGATTGTTATTGTATAGATGCTTTTACCGTCAACTGGAGGGGTTTTTTCTTCTATGCCTTTCCACCATTTGTCTTAATTGATAAGACTATCCAGAAGATTATAAATGATACGGCTACTGGTATTTTGATAGTTCCTAACTGGCCAACACAACCTTGGTACCCTGTTTTCCGGGACCTATTAATAGAAGAACCAATCCTTTTCCCGTCTGAAGAAGACCTTATATCTCTACCTTTCAGGAACAGGCATCCCCTCCACAAACACCTTTCCCTGGTGGCCGGGAAGTTATCGGGGAGACGTTAAGACTTAGAGGTATACCAGAGACCGCAATTCCAATTATGTTGGCAGCCATACAAGAAAAAACTCTAAAACAGTATAGAACTTGTTATAAAAAGTGGTGGCATCATTGTGCACTAAAAAAAGATAATCCTTATACTTTCAACTTCAATTCAATCTTAGACTTCATAGTCGAAAGTTTCAATCTAGGCCTTTCTTATTCATGACTAAACTCAAATAGGTCTGGATTTTCCCTTATTTTTACATTTAGTGAATCAGAAGAACGAATTTTAAAAAGGTTTTTCAGAGGTCTATATAATAAAAACCCAATAAGGCCTAGATATGCCGCAACGTGGGACCCAAATCCAGTATTGATATATCTATCAAAGATGTTTCCGTTAGAATCTTTAACATTGAAAAACCTATCTTAGAAACTAGTGACTTTGTTACTGTTTGTTAACTTCAGGTCAAAGAGTTCAGACTATATCTAAAATATCTTTAAGCAATATAAAAGAAAAATCTGACGTTATTGAAATTCGCATCCGAGACTTAAAACATCCGGTATTGGTAAAAAACAACAGTATTTATCTTTTCAGTTTTTCAAAAATAAACCTGAACTATGCATAGCTTCAACTATAAAACATTACATTAAAATAACAGAGCCATCCGTCGTCTAAGCAACACACTTATTATAACCCATAAAAAAACATATCATACTCGAACCACACAGGCCACCAGTCGATGGATAAAAGAACATTTACAAAACAGTGGAATTGACACAAACTGTTTTAAATCGCACACTGTACGTCAACTTTCGCAGCTTTTAGATCGGGCTTAGATATAGATCTTATCAGAATTACAGCCGGATGGACGGAAAAATCAACTGTGTTTAACACCTTTGATAATTCCTTTAGCTAAAAAATCAGATGAATTCTCAAAATGTATTATAGAGAGAGTAAGTACAAGCAACTCTAAGTAGAAATTGTTTTTAAGGTTTTATTGATATTATCGGATCATATATTACATTATCGTCCGCTAATAATCCAAAAATGTATTAGCAATGTAAGACTTAATTTATCACAAAAAAAATGTTACAGTATATTATACGTTCAAAGAAATATTCTGTTACTACTTAGTTTGAATTATTATTTAACCCCCTTTCAAATGTCTAGGAATTAATTTGACAGCTGTTCTGTTTGTATTTTTCTTTCTCTCTCGACTTAATGTTTAATAGATAACAAATTTTCGGGTTCCGCACAACAATCACACTTTATTTTATCTACAAACATCTACCAATATACGATCATAGAAGGACGGAGATGCGAAGAATAATTTAAAGATTGTTCGACTTACCTGGTAAGGAAGATCAATCTTAATTATTCGAGCATCGTAGTCCTTCTAAGAGAAGTCCCCTCCCGCCCTCAATATATCACATAGTGTATAACCCTGATAAGTGCGATTTGCTTCGACACTAATGAACTGGTTAGGATACGAGACGTGTCCGGGGAGAGAGGGTTTGTTTACAAATTCTTTCAACACAGTGCGTCGACAGGTCGTAAAATGAAACAAACCAATATACGATCACAGAAGGACTACGATGCTCGAATAATTAAGATTGATCTTCCTTACCAGGTAAGTCGAACAATCTTTAAAATATATATATGTAGTACATGTAAAACACTGCAGCTACAAGGTTTTTTATCACTGCGAAAGAGAATGAGTTGAAACTATTGCATTGAATGCAAAAAGAAATATATTTAGCACCATTAAATCTCTTCCCAAAAGTACTTTCATGCTTACCTGAAAAGCAGTCATTTTGTTGCAATTACAGGGTGTTTCAGAAAGACATGCCACTATTTCTAGGGTGGAAAGTACATCCAAAAATAACAAAAAAATGACTACAAATATAGATCCAAATATGCTCCCTTCCCTCAGACAGTGAAAGTGCCTAAATCAAGGTCCATCGGCTGGTTCAACAAATCGTACGACACTGCTCGTCAGCAGAAGATCAAGGCACATAGAACCTTCTTACAAAACCCCACTGTAGAGAACAGACAATCCAACGTCGAGTCCAGCAACAAGTATAACGAAGCGGTCCGCAATGGAAAAGACCAGCACGATGTAAAAGTTAGGCACAGGGTAATGTCGCAGATTGAAATAAACTTCTCACATAGTAGCTTTTCACCACTTACGTGTCAGGATCGAATGATTGTAACCTTCTAACGCGGCAGTGCTTGCCAAGATCTTTGTTACGAACTCCACCATGGACGTCCCCCCAAAGCCCTAGTGCCGTCGATTCAAAGTGTTCCCGGTTGCCTACACTAAGCGAGAGGTAACATTCAGGCATAAGACCGTAAGACAGGTGCTCTTCTCGCTCGACATCAACAAAACTTCTGGCGGACATGATTCCTGCCATTGTTTTGATGAGGTGTGCAGCGGAGCTTGCTCCAGTTCTTTCGCATCTATTCCAGATATCTTATGATTCCGACAACTTCCCAGAAAACTGGAAATTTGCTCATGTGCCACCCATCCCAAAAAAAGGAACTAAAACCGACCCTCACAGCTACAGGCCTATAGCTCTGCTATCTGTTATAAGTGATGGAGAGGTGCATAAATCGAGAGCTTCTAGACTACCTCGAACGTCACTGCTTGATTAGCGTCAGGCAGTACGTTTTCCGACACCAGCGATCCACAAGCGACCTCCTAGCTTACGTTACGCAGTTGTGGAGCAAACTTATTCAGTCTTATGGTGGGGCTCGTGTCGTTGCTGTTGATATCACAAAAGCGTTCGATCCACCGTGGCGCGCTGCAAACTTCCATCCTATGGCCTTCCAGACAAGGCCCGATGGATGACCGACTTTCTCGCTGGCCGCAAGATATCCGTCGAAATTATCGGTTTCTCCTCTTCATCCCACAACGTCAACGCGGGTGTTTCCCAGGGATCGGTCTTGGCTCCGACACTGTTTCTCTTACATACCAATGACCCACATGCAGGAATTCAGAGCGACAAACCAATCTCTGCCGGTGAGCTGGAAAAAAGATGACTAGCAGCAACTTCCTCTCTGACGAGAGACATGGAGGTTATCACTGCTTGGGGACGCAATGATCTTGCACTGTGCCCTTACGATCAAAAAGCGTACTAGCGCTCATCCGGTTTCGATGGATGGCTGAGTTCTGCCAAAGAGTCATTCATTTCGACT